GGGAGAAAAATGCAAGAGGTGAACAGGCTAGGAACGTGCATAGGGACGGGATGCTTAAGAAAGGGCCTTAACACACACACACACACACACACACACACACACACACACACACACACGGATATCAAAGGGGTGGAGTCCAACCTTAGCAAAGGAGGTGACAAGTTCAGTTCTAAAGGCAAGGCTGAGTATGGACTCGGAGGCCACAACCCTGGCTGCTGTCACAGACAGAGCAGTAAAGTGGCATAATATCACTCTTAAGTTAAACAATAATGCCAGTCCTTCCATGCTACCATGCATGTCTCAAAGGCTAGTAGTGGGGAGGATGTGGTTTGGGTGAATGGTACAGTGTGGCGCCTCCAGGTTTCATGCACATCAAAGCGTTTTAAGTCTTAGCAATAGCCCAACCATTTCTTGAAATGCTGGGAACAGAAGACTGTAGAAGAGAGAATGAAGATGTTCGGGTGCCTGTTTGGTGGTGGTGGGGAACCTCTTTGTGTGGAGAAAAAGAGGGAAGGGGCTACCACACCTGGTGGGGCAGCTTGTCTGCCCACTTCCCACTCTGCACTGGCATGCTGGACACCCTCTGGCCAATCAGCTGCTGATGCAGACTGAGAAGGAGCATCTCCCCTTTGGACCGCTATGGGCTTATGTTACAGCAGGCCCAACAAGGAGGCAACTAGCGCTTCTCCTGTCTCCCCACCTGACTATGGGCAATAAGGCCCTGGGTATCAAAAGGAAAGGTTCTGCTCCTGGTCATCCTGAGCATCTCTGTACAATAGAATACCAAGAGCAATTTTTAAGAGGTTGGGAGAAGCATGACAGTCCATTTTGAAGACATTCCAAGGAAAACCTAATCTATAATAGTTTGATGGAACCTCCATGTTCAGAGAAAGTTGCTGGGGATGTACAGATGGGAGGAGGGGATTCTTGCTTGTGGGTTTCCTGGAGGCTTCTCGCCAGATGCACCTGATGCATCCTCAGTCTGTTCTAGCAGGGTCCTTCCTATTCTGGAGCCACCTGTGTGATGCCCACAAGCACCAATGGACCCACTAGTACTTTCTGTGCCACCCATGAAAGGTCTGCATAAACACCCCCTTGGGGAAAAATCCCGCAATCCCCTGTTCAGTGTTCCTGCTCAGTTTCTGCTTGGACGGACTTTTCTCATATATATATATATATATATATATATATATATATATATATACACATACATTTTTTATATTTATATGCAAGACAACGCCTTAAACATGCCCACATTTCATTGGATGCCAGGAATGGGCAACCGTGCTTCCTTCCATTCTGAACCTCTATTCTCTCTGTGAGTGAGCATGGCATTGACTGGTGCCTCCCCTCCCACCCCCGGCTGATGTTGAGGAGGGGATGCCTGAGCTACTTTGTGGTCATTTTCTTGGCTCTTTTTGATATGGCAGACGCTGTGTGTTATGCCATTCCCCTATACAGTGGTACCTCGGGTTACAGATGCATCAGGTTACAGATGCTTCAGGTTACAGACTCCGCTAACCCAGAAATAGTACCTCGGGTTAAGAACTTTGCTTCAGGATGAGAACAGAAATCGTGTGGCGGCAGCGGGAGGCCCCATTAGCTAAAGTGGTACATCAGGTTAAGAACAGTTTCAGGTTAAGAACGGACCTCCGGAACGAATTAAGTTCTTAACCCGAGGTACCACTGTAACAGTGATGTCGTGTTATGCCACACCCCCATGGCAGACATTCCTCAAATTGACATGTGTGCCCACTGGCCCAAAAGGGTGGATGTCCCCTCTTCTAAAGTGGCAGCCATTTCTCCTCAATCTGTTCTGGGTGTTTTTAAGTGGTGGTGATGGGGGGTGGGGGGAGGCAGGTCCAGAGTTGCTCAAAAGTCCCTGTCAATCACTTCCAGTGTTCAACAGTCATAATGCCTCAGCAAGAGAGAGTCTGTTTCACTCCTGACCAACTTCATTGATACTTTTGGCCTGCTGTGATGGGCTTCTGTGCTGAAGGCTGCATGAGAGGTGACACAGGCATTTTGAGTGAATGAGAAAAAACCTAGTGATACAAAGCCAACACATTCAAGGCATAGTTACAGGTAGGTAGCCATGTTGGTCTGCCATAGTCGGGGGGGGGGGGTGAAATCCTTCCAGTAGCACCTTAGAGACCAACTAAGTTTGTTATTGGTATGAGCTTCCGTGTGCATGCACACTTCTTCAGATACACTGAAACATTCAAAGCATGGGTGAGAAAAAGCCGATTCAAGGCCTCGTCATCCCCTCCCTGTTCCTCTGGAGGATGCTTCAAGTGGACCAAGTTCTTAGGAGCTTTCTATTCTGGTTTGGCTCCCGTGGTATCTCCCTGTTCTCCATTCATGTGATCAGTGAATTCTGACCCTCTGGGAGCTACACATTCAGGATGCGTCAGGAAAGGCCCCCTCCACATATGCGCAGCTCCTCTACCCAATCAGGAACCCTGCTTGGTGCGCACAGCCTCTTTCACTAATGTTAAATGTGCAGCTGTGTGGGGAGCATGACCCAGGCTTGCATTGGTGTGGGAGGGACCCACCGGCCACACTTGTACCTTGTCACATGGCATTGAATGCACGGAAGGGTTCATCTGGACATTACTAGTTTGTGTCAGACTCATTCTTTGGGTGGAGAGAGAGAGAGAGAGAAAAGGGCCTGCTATTTAGCCGCTTGTGCCAGCCTGACATTCAGCTCCTCGCATGATCTTGCTGCAATCCGGCACCAAGGGAGCAGCGCTGGCTAGAATTTGGGATAGGCCTGGGCTCGAGCTCCAGAACCTACGTGCAGGAAGCTGGCATGCTGTAAAAGTGATTAATGCAGTTTGAGTTCAATTAGAGCGGCGTGTTTGAAGCCTGCTGGGCAAGCGGGGGTGGCAGCAGCATGATTCTGTTGATCACAGCTTAGTTGTGGCACAGATGGGGCTGAACGGGGAGAGGGTGGCAGGAGGAGGGGAGGGGGAAACACAGGCTCTCTTCCCCGCAAACGGCTTCACAGCGCAGTGCGCAGCCCCAAGTCCCCAGTGACAAGGAGTTGGACAAGGAGAGACTTGCTTAAATAAGTCGCACCTGCACAGCTCCTCATGTCCAGAACACACACGAGCCAGTCGGGATGCTGTGGGCTTGTTTACGCAGCCAGGCTGCTGGGTTGTTAACGGAAGGTGTCATTTCTGGTTTGCTATTCAGGGTAACAGTTTCTCCCCAGGCTTTATTTCACGAATCTCGGTTTGTCACCACGGATCTGGGTGTGACAAGCTCAGGGTGGGCTCCTGTCCTCGGTACCTTAGGCAAGAGACAGGTGTAACACACCTTGGATAGTCTGTATTACAAATAGGATATTCTGCTCCTCCACATTTCTTCACGGCAGGCTTGGTAGAGAGACTGTAGTATTGCTTACGCTGCGTATTCCCCTGAGTTGTCAAAAGGACAGAGGGAGAAGCTGCTGATTCTTCCATGTTTTCTTTTTATGCAATGTCAGAATTTTTCCAGAATGACTGGAAAGGATCTAGAAGGAATCTGATCGGAATGCCTGCACGGAGAGGCAGGACCCACCATCCCAAATACAGTGGTACCTCGGGTTACATACACTTCAGATTACATATGCTTCAGGTTACATACTACGCTAACCCAGAAGCAGTACCTTGGGTTAAGAATTTTGCTTCAGGATGAGAACAGAAATTGCACGGCGGCAGCAGGAGGCCCCATTAGCTAAAGTGGTGCTTCAGGTTAAGAACAGTTTCAGGTTAAGAACAGACCTCCGGAACGAATTAAGTACGGTACTTAACCCGAGGTACCACTGTATTCTTATTGGAGTTGCTTACACACAAGCTGTTGAGTCTGGAGTTACCATCCTTGGTTAACTTAGATTTTATGCAAAATCCATATGCATTCCAGTGTTTTCTGTGTTCCTGCTCTCTGCATATATGATTTTAGGCTACTGTTTTCACTTGCGGCACCAGCCTGTTGGGTGTGTGCAGCCAAATCACAACTGAGACCTTTTAGGGCTGCTCAGTATTTAAGTAGAAGTTTCCTCCTAGTGGCTTCTGCCTCCAATTGCTTTCTGTTCAGCACATCCTTCGCCCCATAATCACTTCTTGTTCCCTTGGTGGGGGGTGGGGGGAAGCAGGCTTTAATTACTGACTTTTATTTTTCCGGTCACTTTTTTAACTGTAAAAGGGCGTAATTTTGCAATTCAGAAAAATAACGAAAGAAAGCCAGTCATTTAAGTCCCCCCCCTCCCAAAATAGACTGACCAAGAGGCAGTTAATCAGTGATGTTGCAAGCAGGGAGCTTGGAATTAAAGATGAAGGGGACATTTGCTGAATGGGGACAACTTCTGAGTAAACATTATAGACAGAGCTTAGCAATGGAGATGGGCATTTTGGATAATATAGCACTAAATTGTCTTGTGGAATGGCTACCTTAATTGTGCTTCCAGCTGATTTTGAGCCCTAGTTTGCCAGCAACCCAGACTAGTCCATATAATCAAGATTATAATGTGTCACAAGCAGGAGAGGCCAAGGTGTGCCATTCCAGAGATACCGATGGAGCAAAGAAAAAACGCCCTGGAGAGTTAATTTCTAAACATATATTTTAAAAATATCTATATGATGCTTTTCTTGGCAAAGCCCAAGCAAAGCAACTTACAAGCAATAAAAACTACAAGTATGGAAAAAAACCCAATATTGCTAAAACTTAGAATAAAACAAATTTGCGAAGTCGAAAACAAACCCAGACATCCAGTAATATTTAACTTAGTTGACCCAGATGGCTCCCAGAAGCCACATGTGCTGCACATGTCAGAAAACTGCAGGCAGGGCAGGGGGAATGGGAGGACCGATGGAATGAGCCACCAGTTTAACCCTGGGTCTCTGAAACATTGCTGGATATTTGAGCAAGGCCTCTGTGCCTAGGAAAGGGAGCAGGTTGTGTCGTCTTTAACACTCACTTTAGCCTGTGTGTCTTCCTTGTTGTCTCTCCCATTTCAGGTGCTGATTCTTGCAGACGGGGACACCAAGGGGTTCCTGTACCGTCACCTTGGCTTCCTCTCCTCTCTGGAGAAGAAAGATGGAAAAGCCACAGCTTACCTTTGCGAGAACTTTGCCTGCTCCTTGCCCGTCACCTCCAGCCAGGAGCTACGCCGCCTGCTGCTGCCCTGAGCTGCCTCCCCTGGTGGCCCTTGCGCTTCAGCGGACATGAGAAGAGAGAGCCCTGCTTGGAGCTCGCAATAAAGTCTCCTTTGAATAAAGCCAGGTTGAATAAAGCCAGGTTGGGCCCACTTCAACCCGCCTGTTTCCATTTGAATAGCATCTTCCCCCTATGTTCAGGAGTGGTCAAGTTTGTTTGCCGTTAGGGGCAACCAATTTGCAGGGCTGGGGAACCTTGTGTGTCGCCCAGCGGTTGTTGGATTCCAACTCCCATCAGCCCCAGCCAGTGGGTCAGGGATGATGGGAGCTGGATCCGGCAGCATCTAGTGGTCCACAGCCTCTCCTCACCTGCAGGGTTTACTTTTAGACTTGCAGAGGAAGTTCAGCAAGGCCCTAACTTTCCTCACAGCTCAGGTTATGATGGTTTCATGGGCAAAGGGCCATCTTGCCAGTGAGACACCCCAGGCTGTTTTAGGCACTGTTGTGGAGCGACACTCACTGTATATTTTGTTAAGCTACTTTGAAGATGGAGGCTTCACCTTGCACATGTTAGTGTGGATGGGTGAAGTAAAGCACATGGTCCAAGATTCCAAATGGTGTACATGGTACATAATTAGAGGAGACAATATGGCTGCATAGCCTCAAGTTTAATCCCACAAGGTAGAATCCATAGTTTGGCCTTCATTTTTAATAAAGCAAGTTTCTGGCTCTCATATATTTGAAGGGGAAAACAAAAATGGACAGTGTTTTCTTGTTTATATACACAAATGTTCCCTTGGGCAACAAGGGCGCTGCTCCCTTCCCCATGAACTGGCATGTATGGCATTCCTTTCCCAGCTTGCCAATACTTACTTCACCAGCCCAGGAGCTGCCGGTAAATCTCCGAAATTCATTGTAAATACGCTTCACAGCTCTAATCAGTTGGGAGAAAACACATGTATATTGGTTAGCTTAACTGCCGCTTTTTGCAGAATTTGGGGCTGTTAAGTTTATAAACCATGCCTCTCTTCGTTTGCACACTCTGAAATTAAAGACTTGCGGGTTTGCTTCCCTGTGCTCTGTGGAGTATAGCAGGAAGAGAACCATCTCGCTGAGCTGGCGAGCATTGGCATCTGTGATTGGGACATGCAAGGAAGAGGCTGCCTGCAAATGGCATCGCTGACAAGCCTCTCTTTCTCCTGGGAACTTAAACCTTCTGCTTTCTGCACATCCTTTCCTGTGCTTAAGCTTCTGGTCTCCAGTGGTTCAACATGGGGTCACGTTATATGATTCAAGAAGGCACCTCTCAACACCAGCGAGTTGTGCTGTCAGGGAAGGTGGGGAGCGCTGCTGATGGTGTTTTTCAGTGTAACAAGATAATTGACTCCTAATGAAAAGCCACATTGCTATGCCTTTGGACGGGCAATTCTCTTAAGTGCCGCGGAGGCCATTGCAAGTTGCCAACTCCCCACTGGTGACGAGGAGACATTTCAGCCAGAAATCCTAGAAATAGAGCCAGAACAGACTGACACCTGAAGCCAAGAAGCTCTGCTCTTGGGCAGACTGGCATTTGCTTCTGCTCTGGCTGCTCCCTATGGCCGCACCAGGGCAGCACAGGCTGAATTATTCAACACTCTCTCCTTCTGTTGTGAAGCTGGATGTGTGCCCTTCAAACCACAGTGCTCTCCCCGCTCTTGAATCTTGTATCAGGTGTGCAGGAGCCACCAGGAGTCAGTCTGCCTGTGCCACATGAATGAGGTGTGCTGTGTGTGAAGGGTGGTGGGCACTGAGTGTCCCTTTCTGGAGTGAAACAGGCTATTTTGGGATGCTTTCAGCCCAGTGCAGAACTGCTCCATGTTAAAGACCTTGTTGGAAACGTGGAGTTCATCTGAGTTGATTTCTGACAGTCTGAACATTTTCGTCTCTGTTCAATGTGCAATAGCTACAGCTCCCGTCATCCCCGGCCATTGTGATGCTAGCTAGGGCTGATGGGAGTTGGAGTAAAATAAATCTGAAGGGCCAAAGATTCTCTTTTCCCTGTAGTAGGGCTACCTCCACATCGTCCCACATTTGAGGGAAGGGACTTTCCAAGACACATAAGCCCCCTATTCAGCAGAGCATTAGCTAAATTAGACCAATTTCCATATGGAAGGACCCCTATTTGGTTATGATATTTGGCCCAGCTCTACCTCCCCCTTGTGTAATTTAGGGTTGCCATATTTCAAAAAGTAAAAACTAGGACGCCTTGAAAATGGTTGAGCTTTTTTATTATTATTAATTTTTATTAGTTTTCCAAATTTTAACAAATTAATCCAAATTATTTAAATTTAATACAATTAAAAAAAAAGAAAGATTTCCTGCTCCTGTTACAAACATATGTCCAACTGCTTCCTGATGCTGCCACTTCATTCTTTAATTGTTGAGTTTTTTTAAGGAAACCCCTGAAATGGTTGAGCCTAAGATCCAGGACAAAGTGCCACCTTTTGGAAATTCCCCAAGACAATTACACCTTTGAAATCCCAGTAATGTCCAGACTTAGTGGCCCTAGTGTAATTGGGTAGTTCTATGTGGTTATGTCCTCTCAAGTACAGTATTAATCTTGAAGCAAGGGCAGAATGGTTAAATCCCCTCTGGGACTGAGCACCTAATTCAGGATTCTTTGTTTTAGAGATAGTTGACAGCAGCTACAGCAGGGGTGTGCAACTCGCAGCCCTAGGTCATACTTCCTCATAACCCTTGATTTAATTTCATGTAGGGACGCGGGTGGCGCTGTCGTCTAAACCACAGAGCCTAGGGCTTGCTGATCAGAAGGTTAGTGGTTCTAATCCCCGCAATGGGGTGAGCTCCCAGCTCCTGCCAACCTAGCAGTTCGAAAGCATGTCAAATACAAATAGATAAATAGGTACCGCTATGGCAGGAAGGTAAACGGTGTTTCCGTGCGCTGCTCTGGTTTGCTTAGTCATGCTGGCCACATGACCCAGAAGCTGTCTGCGGACAAATGCTGGCTCCCTTGGCCTATAGAGCAAGATGAGCGCGCAACCCCAGAGTTGTCCGTGACTGGACCTAACGGTCAGGGTTACCTTTACCTTTAGGTGGCGATGAGGGGGAAGTAGCAGGAAAAGGGTGGTAGGAAGAGTTATGAGTGGCAGGAAGAGAAAATGTATGGTCCCACCAAGTGCTATTTTTCTAGAAAAAAAGGGTGTCGGAACTCACCACGAACACCTCCCTTCTCTTATAATGGCAATAGTGCCCACTTGAGAGGTGCCGGAAAAAAGCCCTGGTCCACGACCAGCAGCTGGCAGCCCCTAACAAAAGTATCGCAAAATAAAGCCCACCCTTGCGCTATGGAGTGTAGCAGAAACAACGGTTTGGTGTCACAGGAGACCCCATGGGAACAATCTGGCTTTTCTAAGTCCATCTTTAGCAGCCTGCTAATTAATACCTGGCCTATCCCTTGAAATCCATCAAATTTGGGGCGAGATCTACAACCACAATTTGTTTCTAGTGCAACACTGTCTGGTGGATCTCCAGCTGGAGCTCTGCCAGTCCTGTAAGGCCTCTGGTATTTTGAACTCTGCCAGTATTGGCAGGTACCAGGCTGCCAGCCAGCCAGGACCCAGGGAAGCTTTTGCACGGGACAGAAAAGGTCCCCAGGAAGAAGGAACGTGGGATTCTGTGGAGCAGAAGAGCTGGCTGTGCTGTGACAGTGATGGATGGGTTTAGTTATGGGGTCTCTTGACCCTGCTGCTGTTTCTAGCAGTAAATTAGATAATGGCACTTCCAGACCTGATAGAAACAGTTTCGTCCTGTGCTGTACTAGCTCCCTCATTAGTTTTGCTTTGTGACAAGGGGATCGACGCCTCTCCCCCCACCCCCAGCCAGAGGATCTGGGATTGTTCTTGCCAGTGTATATACCTGCGATGAAGTGTAAGACGGGATGCGGGGACAGGCTGCGCTGTCAGCAGGGCTGATGGTGGGACCAGACCACGACACTTGAATAAAGAAAGCTTTATCTCACCCTTGGAGGAGCAGCATTCTTCGCAGCGGGAATGCAAGCTGTGTGTGTCTGTGTCTGAGCTTATACACAAGCACAGAGATAACAAGAGGAAAGTAGGTAGCCATTAACGGGTTTATTTTACCCCCATAGGCTTTTTAGAGCAGACTCCATAGAATAGTCTCAGAATTGCAGAGTTGGAAGGGAGCCCAAGGGTCATCTAGTCCAACCCCCCTGCAATGCAGGAATGTCTGCAATTTATTTTCAGCTGTAAGTCTACATTCCTTTCTGGGCAGCCACATGCTACGATGCGCAGGGTAGGGTGGCAATACCTCTCAGCTTCCTCCTCCTTAGTGTCAGCTTGACCCTTGTAGAAATCACCTTGGAAGGGGTATCATGGGCCAGGAACCAGCTTCACCTGCTGGACAGCAGCCTGAAGGGGGAGGAGTGACTCCACCTGCAACTGATCAGTCTTCAAGGACACAAAGGAGGAGGCGGCACTGATGAGAACCAGCTGGCTTCAGCCTTCTTAAGCAGAGCTTCCAGCAGCAGTTAGAAGCTGGTAACAATGCTTGTAGTTCCTGGCCCTACTTTGCTGCTTCCTGTTCATCTTGACCCCTGACCCCATGATCACCGGATTCCCTGATCATGTGGATTGCTGTTCACCTGCCCCTAGGACTGGACCTGACTTTGGATGCTGACCCGGCCTCCAGGCAAGTACACTTCAGAGACTCTTCTGGTTGGCTGGCCTCCCACTCCACTGAGTTCTTCCCGTTGTTGCTCAGTAACGAAACTATGACAAGGGCATGGGGGACAAAACTAGAATTATTTGGTTTTGTCTCTCATTGACTGTGGCTCCACCTGGTGTCTGGGCTCCCTGCTTTCTGACCTGCCATTCCTAGTGGGCACCAGCCACCACTGAACTGTCTGTGTCTGTGTGTACACACAGGAGAGTCTAGAAGGGTTTTGATTGCTGGCCTGTTGGCCTGTTCCCCTGACACCACTTACGAGTACAAACTGTGGTAACACATGGAAGCGCCAGAACATTCCTTGTCCTTGTTTCCGTGGGTTGTTCCTTTCTTCCAAACCATCTCAGCTACAAAGAGTGTCGGGCATGTTCCTTGTTAAAAGTTCACAGCCTCCATAGAACGCGATGGGTGTCCTCTATTTCGGTCTTCTCTGCT